AAATTTTGTCCTTTGCAACACCAAATTGAACCTGTCAAAATGATATCTATTCCGGGAGTTTGCCGAAGGAGGGGAGGAGGAAATATAACGTTAACTGGTGCGCGTGCATATTTCATGCGAGTGTTCAATGCGGGAATAAGCCGTCAGATCCCTCATCAAGTGAGCTGAACTGACCTGGGGTCCCCTTAATGAAGTTACGTTCCCTTCAACGTGTCGGTAGGGACTCATCGTAAGGAAGGTGGATGAACGACGGTTCGATAACACTCGGGAAAGTAGTAAAAAGTTCCCCATCGTCGGACCATCGATTCATCCTCCGGGGACAGTGCCAATCTGCGATTCTGTCCATTTTCCAAATGTCATCGAAATTCGATAAGCTCGCTATTCAGTGCGGCTCGAAAAGCAAGAATGTCACGGGAGAATATACTATGTGGATGTATATTAATATTGCAACAAGGAGAAAGGAACCCTGTATCTAAAATGCATCTAAAATGTAATTAAAACGTATAATCGTCGCCTTATCAAACACAAAAGAACTTTTTAAAGAAAGTGCGTATAATAAATCAGTCAAGAAAGTATCTTCCACTTTCTCTAAATGTCAGTACGCTAAATAATGCGAGCTCTCGTTACCGATTATCATTTCATCGAGTTACCTTCAGCGCTAATTGCACGCGCAAAAGCGAAAATGTGGGGCACTGTGCCTGCAGGCCGCTTCAGCGGGAAAATTCTGCGCTTAAACACGAACATAAGGTCATTATTACCGTCTGCCAATATACGCGAAGGTACGGCCACGTGAAACTATAATTGAGACTTGCAGATAGCGGCTGGAAAAATCTCACGCGCCTGTTATCTCACATACCCGACACGTCGGGCGCTGTATTAAGTGAGCGAGTACCGTGTAACGCGCGTAAGAAAAACGTGTGAGTGTACATGTAAAACCCGGCACTGCTACGGCAAAATCAGACCGCGAATATCCTGCGTTCCGCTTAGGAATTATGAATCACCATTGTAAAATCTAACCGACGTATAATAGCGAATACGTGGAATTATTCGTCGCGAATTAGAGCTAGAGCTGTTTTCTCAAAGAATAACCGCAAATCAACTGCTTTCAATGCTGCAGCGTGTCGATCCAGATATCAATCTGATACATACATTTTACATTGTGTGGAATTACTGCTATAAAATTTTCAGCTAAGTAGCTATCTCTCGGCAAAATTCTTAGCTATGGATGCTTGATCAAGAGAAACGACTTATGTTGCAAGATAAGTCTCGCGTTTAAGTCTTATTCTGGTTGTTAAACGCAACACTACGGGCATAAAGCGTGGCAGATAACCTTGTTCGTTGCTATATTTCGTAATATATTAATATATTAAAATATTTTATTAATATATATATAATATATATTATATAATATAATATATTAATATATTAAAATATTTTTTAATTTATATGATAGTTTATATTATACCAATTATGTTAATTATGTCCTCTGTAATTTCCACTTGACTTCCCTTTGTCAAACTTCCAGAAATTGCGGATGCAATGGCTGGAATAATATTGTAGATAATAATTCCATCTTAATGGAGCAGTTGAGTGATAATATAGCATAGCAAGTGTCTGTCGATACTTCGCAAGTTTCGATATGCGCTACTGTCTTCAGCTAACAATAAGTAGTATACAGTTAAGTGACAGCGTCTTGACAATGTCGCGCCTTGACAATGTCGCGCCTTGACTTGACGCACTCTTAACGCGTAATTCTCGTTGCTCTTAGAATTATCGGCTGTCAGGCGTATATTTATCGCGGTAGCAGGAAATACACTGGGTGCACCAAGATAACGTAGTCCTGCGAGGCTGACTTTGCCGGTATTGCTTGGCAGCGTGACGCATTTTACATTGAGGCCAAACCGCGATGATAAAAGGAGAAGCAGGACGTCGATCTATCGGGCGGGAAAATTATAACGCGGAAAGTCCTTTGTGCACGACGCGAAAGAGTTACGGACACAATTGCACGCTTGGCGCACGGCGTTTATGCGGCGCGACAGAAATAAGCCCTTACGAATAAACTTTACCGCATAATTTTGTTTTCATGCATAATTTTTTTCTCATTCTTCATCGTCTTATTTATTTCAAGAGTTTCGCGTCACTCTTAACTCACGTTAACTCTCTTTTTACGATTACAAGAAGTGTGGAACGAGAAGGGAGAAAAACACGGCAAAAAATAAAAATGCTAAATTTATCTGCAGATTTACTCTTGACTCGCTTTTGCTGCGATTAAATTTGCGACGCGTGATTTTGTTTACGACAGAATTAAGAGATCATGATAAAATGTTACTTTTTTAATACTTTTAAATGCGTGAAAAGTATAATGTTGAAAGCAATATCATAAATATCTTATCAATATGATATCTATGTATTATTTGCTAATTGAAGAAAATCATAAATATACACCTCATAAATGTATATTTGTATTATTTACATAACTTCACTATAAAGATCTCATGAGTTTATACTTCTAATACTTTTATTGTAGTCATTTGATATGTTTGTTTTTCAACACATCTTATCTCTAAAGACAATGAGATACGTCAGGATGAAAGATCTCCTATTCTCTTGTTAGATAATTCTTTCTTCTTTAAAGATAAAATTTTCAATATCTTTTTTATGATTTGCTGAATTGTAGATATAAAATAAATTAATAATAATATCAGTAATTAAAAATTAATAATTAATCTGTAATTACAAAATAAATGCGTGCATTACATTAAAATTTAATTTCACGAATCGTTATAGTTTCCATAGAAATCTATATAAGCAACTCTGGTAGATTAATTTATGAAAGTTTTATAAGTGTACGATTACACTTATAAAACTGTGTGAAGATGTGTGTATGAATATTATAAGAATTATTTACCTACGATGCTTATAAAAAAAAATGGTCACGTGGGCGCATACCAAGTCAATCATTATGTTTAATGTTTTCACTAAATTTCTTTTCGCTCTGTTTGCACAGTCGTGATACTTCCCTCGTGTAGACCGCATTTGCGCGTTTTTTGTGTGTTTATTTGTGTGCCGCAACGTGGCATGTGCCCATGAGGAAATAAAATTTTACGTGGGTATTCCAGCTTCGCTTTTTAGCCGCGGGTTAGATGCCCCTCGGCTTGAGATTTTACGAGTTTGATGTACGAAGCCAACTGCGAGAATAAATAACGCAACGGAAAAAAGAATTTCGACGTCTGCATCGTAATCATCTTGCGTGAGATAAATCAACTCGTGAATTCAATATTTCGTTTCAACGTATCTAGTTTTAATCTACAGATATTACGATATGGTCAAATTTAATGGCAGCTTAGATATTTAGCTTATTACTATTTTAACTTATTCTTTAATACTTCTAAATATGCAACTTTTGTTATTTTTTATTATTTTTCGCGAAGGTAAAGAAAAATTGTACTATGACGTTACTTTGCTATTAATTATAACATAAATTATAACATTACTTCTTTTTTTGGTCAAATAACCAAAAATTGTTTTCTTTTTTATCGAAATCATCTTATTTAAATTTAATCGTCACAATTGCGGGGTAATTAAAATGAGATAAACATTTATACTTCGAGTTAAATATAAGTAAAAGTCGAATGAATCTGAAAGAACCGACATTTAAGCGCTATGAGAATGCAAATTCTTTTCAAATCATCGTTGCGGAGCTTGGCAAGATGTTTAATAAATCTTGCAGCGTTACGTTTGCTACAAAGTTCTACAATCAGCTGAGATTACTAGTGAGTAATGCACGCCAGGTGTCGAACTTGGCAGGTGCACGTGTATTAGGCAATGCTTAAAAGTTTCTCTGGTCAATGCACTGACAAACGGTACATATGTATTCGTTTATTAAATAACTTAAGGGAATTAATATTATCTCGCATGCGGTGTGACATGTATTCACTGGCAAATAATAAATCCCTTCATGCACAAATAATCCTCTACTGTAAGCTCTCCGCTAGGAATAAATTTAAGAAATTTATTCTAGAGTTATTAATAAGAAATTATTGATAAGAATTAGTATTTTTCTTTGAATAAAAATTTTAAATCGACAATTTATGTGAAGAATTTAGAAATTACGTGAAATGGATACTGTTGAAAATTGGAGTACAATCTTTTTTTCAATGATTTACTCAGTTTTTAACAAATTTAAGAATGTATATATTATGGACAAAGTAAGGAATGAGTCATTATGCATAATGCCCGAGACCAGTCGGACAGAGTGATAAATAGTTGTTAATTTTATCGCTTTAACCAGGCAATATAAATAAAAATAAATAAATAAATATATATATATATATATATATATATATGTATATTTATTTATTACTCTGCTCGACTGGTTTCGGGCATTATGCAAATACCTCATTAATCACTTTGTCCATAACTTTGTATATAACGGTATTATTGACGTAAAGATTTAATATTGGAAATTTGCAAACCCGATTTTAATTTGCAGACCCAATTTTACTTCAAACTTCTTGAATTAACAAAACTTATTCAAATTCGTGTATGACAATATAAAAATTATGAAAAATAACAAAAATATCAAAATTTTTATAAATAGCGAAAATATTTCTAAAAATAGTAAGGATGGTAATAAAGTTCCAGATTCTTTTCTATCCTAAGTTTAGGTGCTTCTCCCTGGTTTCAGTATAATAATACATAACGTGCATGTTTCGTAAAGAATATCGCAGCTAATAATATACATATTATATATATATCATATAAGAAATAATGCGTCAGTTCATCGTATTTTGATACACGCGTATTTATTGTGACAAAGCCAGAAATAACATTACAAAGCATTACGAAACAAACGAAATTCCATCAAAAATAACAAACGAAATTCAAATAATCGCGCTGTGCAACGTGTGTATACACACCCCCCTACTTTCCGCTTTCGAAGGGACCACCCTTGTTAAAAACGGCTCCAAAAGTAGCACCGAAAAATACAATGGACTTACCAGCGATCACGGTGTCCTGCAGATTGTATTTAGTCGCGCCGGTTTTCCCGACTTTCGGGAAGTCCTTCAGCTTGCGACCGCTCAACTTGAGCTCGCCGCTCAGGTGCGCTTCCTCCAGGATCCGCTCGAGGCTCCTGGTGAGCTGCTTCTGTATGTGGCCGCTCATGTTCGACGCAACCATCGCCATATTACATTTTTCGGACACGGGCACACGCGACGCGACTGCAAACACGGCCTCGGATGATGCACGACGACCGTGATCAGGAAAAAAGTGGTCTTCCTGGCGTAGACCCACGCGATGCACTCCGATCTCGTACTCGAGAACGCGATAGAGGATTCAACGGGAAGGCGCGCACCAACCACTCCCCTATACTTGTCAGTGCGCTACTGATCGCGCTGATTTAACGCCACACTGCGCTGCGATATGTGCGATTGATGCACCACCTGGGTGTCATTTCGTGCAATAAACCGTTGCTATGACAACAGAATAGGACCGGTGACTAAATTCATAAGTAAATAATTTTCGTTAAATATAACATGTTAAAAACCCAACTCGATATTAAATCAGATTAACTCGTAGAGATAAAACATACACACATCCATATAGCTTACATAGGACAAGCTGTGTGACATTCTTATCTTTACAATAAGAAAAAAAATATATATATAAATAAAAATTATTTATTATGTATATTGCTATATCTTTTCCTAATGTGAAAAATAAATGTTGCATAAAATGTTACAAACACAAATCGGAAAGAAAGTATAGCAGTTGTATGTGTCAAGATAGAGAAATTATTTTCTCTACATTTATTTTGTATATTACATTACATATTCTTTACATATATGGACTAATATTTACAACCCACTTTATACATTCGTATTTCCACATTTATTGAATATACGAATCATCCACATTCATTTATTAACAACTATTGATTCTGAATTTCTTTTTCTAATAATTTATTAGTTTACAATGTATCAATAGGTATATTATGAGTAGATAAAGCATATATTACTATGATCTACTTATAACATTCATAGTAATATCGTATAATTTCGCTAAAAAAAAAGAAATATTTATCTTATGTCTTCTAATCAATTTTTCGATTTCTGGGCTACTCCTATTCTCAGTGATTCATGATATTGCCTAACGAGTTGTTCCTGTAATTCCGCTACACAAGGACTATATCTTGCATATTCCATGGTGAACTCTCCTTTACCTTGCGTAGTGGATCTTAATTCGCCAGCATAACCGAACATATCGTTAAGTGGCACTTCTGCAACGATTGTAAACCATCCTTCACTCGTTTCCGTTGAATTTATGATTCCTTTTCTTTTGTTGATTTGTCCTAATATCATACCCTACACAGAGCAATATATATATGGAAAAAGTGATAAATTGCATAAATATAAAATAAAAAGTGCATAGGCAAAATTACTGTACCTGAAACTCCTCCGGGCCTGTTACTTCAACTAACATAATCGGCTCCAAAATTCGCCAGTTCCCATGCTCGAATACATCTCTAACAGCACCTTGCGCAGCTTGAAAGAAAGCAAATTCCGAAGAATCGACGCAATGATGCATACCATCTATTAGTCTGAATTTGACACCAGCGACCTTGTGACCAGTGAGCAAACCCTTCTCGCACTGAGCTTTGAAACCTTTATCAATACCAGGAATATATTGCTTCGGAACATTGGTCCCCACAGTTTCGTCCAAAAATTCGATAGTCGTATTTTTATGGGGTGGTAATGGCTAAACAGAAAACATAAATTGTTTTCTTTATGCATGAAATATTGAGAAATAAATAATCAAAAGTAATAGATGATATTTAGCATCGATAGATATTAAAAGTAAACAAATGTACATATTATACCTCCATAATTCCGGTCACGCGAGCATATTGACCAGCACCGCCAGACTGCTTTTTATGAAGATAGTCAAATTCACATGGTTCGCATAAAGTTTCGCGGAAAGAAACTTTCGGCTTTCCAAGTATAACGGGACAATTATATTCACGTTCCAATCTTTGTGCATAAATTTCCAAATGCAATTCGCCCATGCCAGAAATTATGCATTCCTGAAAGAGACATAAGTTTTAATGCTAATAAAAATATATTTGCAACAAATGATAATTTATGATACAGAAAACTTTACCTTGTTGTCCGGATCAAAATAGAAACGCAAAGTTGGATCCTCCTTAGTGAATCGACCAATACCTTTAGCAAAATTATCTCTATCTTTTGAATTCTTTGCTTGTATAGACATATATACCACAGCATCGGGTATATAAATTGATTCCATTGATAATTCCAGTTTAGAATTTTTGACAAAAGTATCACCAGATGCACAGTCTATGCCAAATATCGCAAAAATGTCTCCTGCGTAAACTTCTGTCACATCTTCCAGTTGGTTCGAATGAAGCCGAACTAATCTTTGAGCTCGCACCTGAAATATAGTTATTATGACATTTTTAATTGGCTAAGCGTGAAAAAAATATTACGTGCATTTATATAAAAATATAATTACCTTCTTTTTTGATCTTGTATTGTACAAATTATCCCCTCTTCTTAACATTCCTTGGTAACAACGGAAATATGTTAATTGACCGAATTTGCCAACTTCCAATTTAAATGCCAATCCAACAAAAGGGTTGTTATCATTGCGGGTGGAATTCAATAAAACCTTTGCAGATTCGTTACTAAAATCAAGTAAATTTTTTTAGAAATAAATATAAAAATATATACCAATTATCATCTATATACAAAAAACTTACTCAGACTTTTCTTGAAGAGCGTAATTTTCTACTTCTCCTGGATTTGGTAAATAGTTTATTACTGCATCTAACAAAGGTTGGACTCCTTTATTTTTTAGTGCAGTACCAACTAGTACGGGTGTGAATTTTCTTTTTAAACAACTCCTACGTATGGCATCCATAATATCTTTCTCAGTTAATTTTGTCTCATTTAGATATAATTCACCAAGAGTATCATCCACATTGCTCAAGTGCTCAATTAATTCTTGTCTCTTTTCATTTGCCTCTAATTCAATATAATTGTGATGTCAATAATTTTATAGAAACTAAGAAACAAATATATATCAATGTAATTTTGAGAACATTGATTTTATATACATACCCGCATTCATATCTTTTGGAATTTCATCTTCTCTAACAATTTCTCCAAAATTTCCTTCAAAGTAAATTGCTTTTTGAGAAATCAAGTCAACTATTCCTTTTGTTTCTTTTTCTAGACCAATCGGTAATTGTATAAACGCAGCATTGTGATGCAGTTTACTTCTCATTTGCTTTAAGACTTTCTTTGGATTCGCACCCATTCTATCTAGCTTATTGATAAATGCTAAACAGGGTACATTATATCTTTTCATCTGTCGATTTACGGTTAAAGTCTGTGACTGAACACCGCCTACAGCACAGAGAACAAGTACAGCACCATCTAAAACACGCAGAGCTCTTTCAACTTCTACTGTGAAATCCACATGCCCTGGTGTATCAATGATATTGATGTTATGATCTTTCCATAACGTATATGTCGCAGCAGATTGAATAGTTATTCCTCTTTGTCTCTCCAATTCCATACTGTCCATGGTTGCACCCACGTTATCTTTTCCTTTTACCTAAAAATAGGTATATGTATAGCAATGATTTTTTACAGCAGATTTATAAAAAGTTAACTTTTTATGATTTTACTTATATTAAAACCTGTGCATTCACCCGTGCAAATGTATATAATAATTTGACTTACCTCATGCATCTTGGATATTCTTCCAGTGTAATACAAAATACGTTCAGTCAAAGTAGTTTTCCCAGAATCGATGTGAGCTGATATGCCGATATTTCTGAGTTTCTCCAATGGTTTATGCTCAGCAAATTTAGCATACGATGACCAAAACCGCACATTTTGCTAAAAAAAACCAAGCAAGAGATAAATCAGAATAAAATTTCTATGATTGACAAATAATACAAAATTCAATTATAAAGGTTAGAAATCTTACTCCATAAATACAAGAATGCAGCTTTGATAGCTGAGTTAAATTGATATTACGATTTAAAACAGTCACAATGGTCATGATTATTAATTTATTTCACCTAATATCAAATCTTTTTTATAAACACAACTTTTTTGTTAGAAAATTTATTTTGTACGAAGCGGCATACAACTACCAATTACTACATCACCAGAGAGAAGACTGAGAGTGGACATGCCCGCATTTCTGCACGTGTTCTGTGGGCTAGCGCCTTTATGTGCACAAAACGTGCACATTGAACTACGTAGCCAATGTCCACGAATCCCGTAGGTAATGTCTATGATCTTTTGGGCTTCTTCCGTGCTACGTCCACAACTTTTTGGTTCCGATATGTGCTATATCTACAAAGTGTCGGTAATGCATACTTGAAAAACATGATTATGTATATCAATCAGATTTGAAATATAAATACACACGTATTGTAAATACATGTATTGTAGCATTTACTTTTGCATTTACAGTTTATTTAGCAAAAGATCAGTTATTTTCAATAACCTGTGTAATTTGAAAATGTATATTTGTAATATGCCCAGATAGGAAAATGTATGCATTTTAAGATCATATTGTACTCATATATCTCACATGAGGACAAGAATAGACACAGATGCGGGCTCATATGCTGCTCAGAACGCAGACATGTCATGATATCCATAAAAGTGCACAAAAGAATAACATATGAGTACATGCATGAGGTTCAAGCTAATATTGCATTTTGTATGTCATATGTAGTTCGCAACATGATGACAATGTATGTTCACATTTATTGTGATTTATGAGTTTATTTTACGATTATGTTTTTTTGATATTTAGGTTAGATTAGGTTAGGTTATAATAAAATTAGATGTTTTCTTTTCGTTATTAAATATTAAGTATATTCTATTTATTTTAATTGTACACTCAATATAAGCGCATTAGAGCGACATAAACAAGTTTATGAAACAGAAATATTTATAAAACTGTCGAGTCCCACTCACTGTCGAGGACACATGTCACACTTTTAATTTCTCTTTACACAATTTTGATGGGCCGTTCAAGATGGCTTCACACATATATAATAAGACTAACTACAAAAAATGTACGAACCGTAATATCAGAGGATGCGTTTCCTAAATCATAACCACGTTCGGAGAGCGTTTGTATATTAATTGTTCTTATCAACGCTTCTCTTCTTATGTACTAAATTATTTTTATTATATGTGTTTTTAAATTATTTTTGTTGTCTATTTTACACTGAAGATGGCTACATTCCTTGGCCGAAACGTATGTAACAATTTTTAATAAAATAAACTTTTGAGCAACTCGATCCGGCTCCTGCTCTATTAGCTTGATGTCAACACGATCATTATTTTAATAAGGAAGAGCAATATCCTAACATTATTTGTATTTTTATATTATTAATTATTAATATATATTAATCATTGAAAATTTTGTAATATTTATTAAAATATTATTTCATATTTAAAAATGTAAACACATAAAACACATATTTTATCATGCAAAATGGGTCTCGGAGATCATGCGCTTGAATTCTATAATGATGACGAAAATATTGAATGTACAAAATTTATAACACATAATAATTAATTATTGCAATCAGTTTGTGATTATCATGAGTTGACAATTTAACATCAATATGTGAGCTCACATTTTTCCTCATGTGCACGTTAACTTGTGCTCATGATATGTATCGTCATAATATGATTATAAGATATAGATAATTTTGCGGTAAATATCTGAAGATCATGACGTGATGAGATCTGATCATCAGGCATTGCTATCTGGGTAATTACGTTTTACATATATTTAGATATGTTTATTATTAACGAATTGTTTTAGATCATTTTATTAGCTATTGCTAAAATTATATTTTTTCCAGATTGCAAGGTATTAATAATTCTTAAATCAAATAAAATCAATAAGGAGCGTAAAGAGCCACAATGCTAGATTTTCGTGCGAAGGTTATGATATATTCATTAAAAATGTTTACAAACGTTTCAGCCTGCCATCAGGCCTTCTTCAATGTACAAAATAAGAAACAATAAAATATAAAATTCGCCCGCAATGATTAAATAATTAAAAGATGTAAAAGACGTATTTGCAATCCTTTATCGACCATATTGTTGTTCGTTAATAAATTAGATAGGACTGCAATAGATGCAAAAAAATAGAATAATAGTTAAAATAAATAAAATAAAAAGAAGGTAAAATTAAGAAAAAAGATAAACGTACTTGTATTAATTACATGATGGAGAAGCGCTCGCCCAAGTAGAAGGAACGAGATGGAAAAGTTAAGACCAGATGTCTTTACATGTTGAACTTGAATATTTTAGTGATCGTAATTTGTTATTGGTATCGTAATTGGTTGTTGAAATTCAGAAATTCCAATTGACGGTAGAAAGGGAGAAAGGGGGGAGGGGAAGGAGTCAATAGGGAAGGAGAAAGATGGGGGTAAAAGGAAATTGGTAGAGGAAAAAGGAGGAAAAAAAATTTATAGAGGAGGAATTAAATTAATAATCGGGAGATAGGCATCAGGTAAATGATCCGTGTCGTTTTGATTATTGAGCCCTGCATTTTGTCTTTTAATAAAGACCATTTTAGAAATCAGTCTTTTCGGATAAGAGGGTTCACCGTCCAATATCTTAACATTATTCCAATCAAAATTATGGAAAGAATCAATTCTGTGTTTGGAAATGACAGAAGGAGAACAGCTCTTCTTATTAATGTCGTTTTTATGTTCTTTTATTCTGGTGTTAAGTTGTCTTTTCGTCTGTCCAACATAAGTCATATTACAATTAATAATTCTTCCCTCCCATGGGTACACCTTGTCGTGGTGGGAGGGCTCAGTATCCTTCAGGATGGTGGTTTATCCTTAAGGATTTAAAGGGTAAACCATCCTGAAGGAGAAGCTAACGTACCCTCGACACAGCATTGCCACGAGTCGATCAATGGCTCTTATGTGGCGAGCGCATGTAATGCATTGAAATGATTATAACAATTGGGCCCTAGCGAATCATCTTTAAAGTGATTGAATTTATTTAATGTAATGTAATATTTTACTTTTACAATAATAATATTTTTTCCTTGAAAAGCAAATAATTTCAATTCTTCCAACTTACAATGAAGTTAAATTAAAGTTTTTACTGAATATTTACTAAAAAAATTAGTTTTTCCTCAATGTATAAAAATTTGATTAAAAATTATGGGAAATAAAGGAAAAAATTAATATGTACAATAATTTTATTCATAAAATACTAAGTTTAACACATTATTAATCTGAACTCGATTTTGTATTTTACAGATCAACTCCGCTCTTGTCCGTTGCGTATGATGGATGGCAACCGCTACGGCTATGGCTACGGCTGCGGCTACGGTTACGGCTACGGCTATGGCTACGGCAAGGGCTGCCGGCAACGGTTGCGGCTGCGGCTACGGCTGG